TAAGGCAATAAAATCCTAAATTTTCGCTTCGATGCTACTTTCAACCTTTCCTGTCTTTCTTCTAATGTTCATCCAAATGGGCAGTCAAAAGACAGCAACCAAAAACCGGCGCACGATAGTGCATGGTTATTAGTTGTAGAAAGTGAAACTGAACTGAGAACCCTTTGGTTGCTGTCTATTCCATGTCTCGAACAGAAATCACTATTGACTTTATGAATCTCGATAGGATGTTGGTAGCCACGTATGAACACGTTTCGGTTCTTGGGGTTATTGGTAGTGATGGAAAGTGCGGCTCAGGAACCAGTTATGGTTCCACGGAAGAGCATCTTTCAACTGGTCCACACCAGTTTTTCAACCGTTAGTCATGACTCCACGTAGAGCTTGCATGTGCCAATGACCACATTCCAGAGACCGCGGAATAAATTAGGGAAGGGTAGCTGGGAATTCCGTAACACGGTGAGTTCATGAAAGTGAAAAACTCCAAGCAGACTGAACAGGCGAAATCATAGAGTCTGATACAGTTTATATTCATGTTAATAATTTAAATTCGGAAGATAGTGCCTGAGCCTCAAATTAGTGAATTTTCAAATAATAAAACTCGTCTCGGAGGCATCTGGCCTAATTAATAGCAGCGGGAGTAAAATTTTCCGATTTCAGAAAGAAAAATATCTCATTACCACAAGTGTTTCGCTTCAGCATGTCATTCAACCTTGGGATATGATTGCTATAGTGGCAAGTAGAGCTGATTTTACTTGGTGCAATCCCCGGTTGGGAATGAAAGTTTCAGCTTTCAGTTTAGACAACTAACCAGGCACTTTCGTGCGGACGGCGGAACGGCCAAATAGGTGGACTCAGGTTCACCGGATGAGCAACCATAGTACCTGAAAACTTAGTGGGCTTACACCTTGATGAACGTCATCTTTGAAAAAGATCACAAAATAACGACGGTGTCATCGCACAACGAATACGATCTGCCATCAACAAGAATATTGTCGTCTTGTACTGCTACTCAATATTCCAGAAGAGCCAAACTACAGAATACCGGTGTATGAGCTATAACCCTGATGTCTTGAACGTTGTAGTTGAACGCGTAGAACTTTGCTGAGATTCCAATTGGACGATTGCAGTCCATAGAGTCAATCATGTAAGACCCAAAAGCGAAGCGATAATCCCTCCGTCGCATAACCACTCAATGTTGGTTTTGCCAAAAGGGGATAGCTGAGCGACCCAACTTCGGTAAATAAAAATCATTTTTGAGGGGAAATCGCACACTAAGTGCGCATTTCGTTCATCTTAACGGAAGATGAAGGACCAAATTGCACGAAAGCCAACGGGAGAAAACATACCGCCTGCGAGAGACGTTCGAATAGTTCTCTGTTTTGCCATTCGACCATGGTCAAATCACCAATAGCTGAATGCTGTGGGACCATATCGCATCGAGACCAATCACGCTCAGCGTCCTCGCCCGTTGTAAAGCTCACGCTAAGCGGCTGGATATGAGCTGTGCGTTGTTGGATAGTGCCTTCGCAAATGCTCGCTGAACCCACCAAGTTAGACTGCTTCCCACGAGCCTTAGGAAGGCGACTGGGTTGTAGCGATGGGCCGCGTGGGGAAGTCAGAGCCGATTGCGTTTTTGGTGACAGTGTATTCACGTTCGGCGAGACGGGACACATACGAAGTTCGGCCACGGTTAAATTCAATCCACTAACAGACAGCACGGATCGGTCCACTGTCGGTTGCAAACTTGTATTTAAGTTGTCGAGCAATGTATCTGCTCCACCGTAAGTCGCATTCGCTTTGGAAACTTCGGATGACCCTGAATGTGGATGAGGTAATCCTCGTCCGGATAATATCGAATCATTTGGCAGTGCTGACATGGACTTTAACATCAACGAGGCTCGTGTTTTCTGCGGCGAGAGCTGGAACGATGCGTTGATACCCGCGGTGGACAGGCTTCGATTGACCATTTCAACAAATGAATGCTAAACAAACGTAAAAAGAAGTAGCATCAAATTAATTGAATGGAACGGCAGATGATGAGTAGATAAACGACTATTGACGATTCAAACTAGAAAAGGCATTAAGTGTGATGCAGGTTCGATGATCAATTATTTGAACGCGTAGGTGAACGCATTTACTAAACTCACGGTATCACATCCAAAGTAAGAACCGATGTCTTTGAAGAAATTGTGCGTCATGCTAAAAAGTCGTGAGAGAAACCTCTTGCTTCATTCGCAACTTCCATTATCTCATTTATTACCTCTCTCTCTCTCACACACACACACCAACTTAATTGCTCCTCCCCGTAGACCAATCGCAAACATCTCCAATTGGTACGGTTTCTCTCACGATTTTTGTTTAATGTTCGCTTCTTAATTGACTTGAAAAAGGCCTTCCAAGAAGGTAGAAACGTCGTTAACCGAAAACTGTTGTTTTTGGTTATATCTCGTTGTGGATAATCCAAACATTCCCGTACGGAGCTAATACATCTACTAAACTGCTTTTTTCTGACTTGAGAAACAATCTCAAATCGCAAACCGCCGTGTTAAAGTTAACGCTCGCATGCACCTATATATAAGTCAGATATCTTAGTCTTACTAACGTTCTTCAGTATTCAGTGTGTATGTCACCACGTGTTACCTAACAAATGAATCACCACAGGTGAGCACCAAACTTTTATCTGAAATGGAGGTTGACGAGGGACACAAATCAAACTTGAACGGTAGGAGACGGACAAACAAAAGGCGTTCTTCACTACTTTCCAATATGGAAGGTCGGTGTTGAGCTGAAGCGAAAAGTCGTTTTCGACCTTGTACTTATAAATTGTAGCGAACCACTTAATAATTACGACAGAGGAGGAAGCCGGTAGTGAACGGTATTTTGTGGTACAAATGTGATAGACAGCTAGAAGGAATGAAATGGAGCCACATGTACATATGTTAGGGGAAAATATTGAATAAATAAATAGAGAAAGCTTCTCTACGCTATACTGACCTCCGTGAACTTGACATTATCCAATTGCAACTTCAAGTTATGAATCAGATTGTACAGCTCTCGAATGGCACACGTTGGTTCAGATTGGTTTGCTTGGGACTCAGATTCTGAGTTTGAGACATGCTCATCATGGGACTGGTTTCCATTTGCAGATTCCACACTGGGTGGAGTTATCGGTCCGACAGAGGTCGAATTAATGACCCCACTTGAAGACAGCTAATAAAGCATAGACAATTGAAGAGATGTAATCGGAGTAACGACAAAACAAAGAAAAGTAACGAACACAAATCTATGAAGCCTAAAATTGATTGCCACCAAAGCCTCAGAACGACGAGGTTGTGATTGTTCACCAATCGTTTACGCATTGCGAAATGCGTCGGTACTACCAAGAGTCCCAAATAGACCCTGCTGACGAAGCCCTATTTACTGTCCTTTCATTACGGAAGTGTTTTCACACCGAAGTGCGAGAACGAAAAGCCAACATCAGGGGTTATACCGAGGGCCGGTGAGCCAATGGCAGTTCACCTCAGGCAATTAGCTAAAACCCGTGATTGCAAACCGACCAAGAGGCGTACAGAACACGAACACCGACACATTCCTGGTGGTGGTAGTTGTCACAGCCTCAGTTGGGCATCGAGGTACATTGTGCATCTTGGATGGTTTATCTAGTCCACAAGGAATACGATCCAGCAAACTAGACTCCGGTCCCCAATGGATTGCGGACTCTGAGCTCTATCCTGCTGTCTTGCGAGTAGGCTTTCTGTCCAGAGGCTTCGGGTGGGGACCCCGAAATTATCCCTCTCCTCGCTCAGGGAAANAATTCTCTACCACCACACGTTGTCTCTGCCCACACAACCTCCGAAGACATTCTTCGGATTAATTTCCTTATATGTGGTGATTAATTTTCCAATTCTGTGAATTGGTTACGTGTTGATTATCAAAGTCAAAGTTTTATTATGGGAAATACTTACAAGCGGTTGCTTTTCTAGTCCCATAGGGTTTGGCATAGATGAATCGGTTCACAGTAAATACAAAGTAGATGAATGTTACAATGTCACAATTTGTCCTTGTTTTGTGCACTTCTACGGATGTTGAAAT